AAATTTCAATCTCCTAATTTTCTGGCTTTCGAATGATCTTTGAGACAAAACTTTCACGTGGTCGTATGCGAGACCTTGGCATACGCAGAAATTAGCATTCTGCCTACTACAATCTACTTAACGTTTCTATACAATTTTTTCTTCCCTTATCCAGAAACCCTTTTCTTCCTTTTCAGTCTACTTTTACCTACATTATCCCCCTCCCCCCTCCTCCCTCCCCGCGTACCAGTTCTCAATCTATTATCTCCTACATCGATCCTTTTTTACGTTTACTTTCTTTAATTTTATTTTGCCTTCCAATAATTATAATAAAATCGTTATAATTATTTGAAAATTCCAGTCCTTAATATTGTGATAATACATTTCAGCTTTGCTATAGATAAACGAAATTAGTTATTGAAACTGACGTATTCGTGCATAAATAATTAGATTTCATACAATATTAATAAATAGCCTTATAAGTATCTCTCTGAAAAAAATTATCTGGATTGGAAATGGAGTTAACAACCCCTTCTACGGTAAGACTTTACATCAAATTTAGTTCTTTTTTACACTCTTAACTTTTATCATTTCTTTACTTATACTTTTTCAATAACATATCTATTTAAATTAAAATCAAATCCACGCTAATTACCACAATCGCTGCACTGACGTGGTCCAGTTGTGGTAATGGTAAGAAATGTATACGACTTAGTGAACTGAAACATTTCTTACCATTCTAAAATTTTTCAACACATTTCAAGTTTTGTTAATTTCTTCTTGTCCCAACATTAAAAAATTTTATCACTTTAATACTTAAAAACTGAATTCGAGTTTATGAAGCCCTCCTACCACTTCTGGCTCCCGAGATAATGATTTTTCTCGCCAAAACTTTCATGGGGACGTTGAAACTTTGCGGAGTTGCATGTGGACAAAGGTTGCCATGCTAAGATTTCAGCTTTCTAAATTTCGTGATTCCCGAGATAATAATTTGACCGCAAAAAATTTTCACGGAGATGTAGGTGATACTCGAAAGCACGAAAACGCTGAATTTGAATTTGCAAGTTGGTGCGTGGGCGGGAGGTCATTATCCTAAAACCTCAGCTTCCCAGATTCCGTGGCTCCCGAGATAATTTATCCGTCAAAATCTTTACGGGGCCGTACACGCTACCCGCCGTCAGTGGAAGGCTGAATTTAAACTTACTGCGCAGCGCGTGAGCAGAGGACATACACGCAAAATTTCAGCCTTCTAGCTTCCTTGGTTTTCTTGATAATAATTTTAACCGCCCAAACTTTTGCGGAGCCGTACGTGTTACCAGTAAGTACAGGGAGACTGAATTTAAATTTGCGGGGTCACACGTGGGTGGGAAACACTCCCCTAAATTTCCAGCTTCCTAGCTTTTGTGGTTATCGTGTTGAAAGTTGCGGACAAGTTGCTGCGGACACACACACACACAAAGACAATCCCGTGACAACATGCATTTTGCACTGCTGTTACACAGCACAAGACGCATAATAAGAGGCTGCTCCTGCCTTGTGCTCTCCAACTTATTACTCAAGTTCTGTTTATTAGTGAAAAACAACCATCAGGACTTTGATTACTTTCTGCCATCAACTGCGTAAAAAATGTCTTAAGAACCAATAAACTAATCCGTAGAATTGGGCAACAATTTGTATGAAATCTGCTTTCAAAAAAAGGGATTTCGCTTACCATAATGGGAAAAATGCATTCGTGGTTTTTTGCTAAATTCTTCAGCAATATCCATGTTTGTTCCTGGCGCAGTATGTCGAAAACTGCTCCTGTAAGTAAAGAAAAAAACCCCATCTAAAAGTGGGATTTAAGTACGTAGTTACGTGATTGAACGGCCGCATAAATGCTCGATACTTGGGTGGGTACAACAATTCACACAGATGTTGGTTTTATTTTGTCATGATATTTTTTATTTTTTCATCACCGGTGCAGCGCAAAGTCGCACTGGAGTACGCGCCCGTTCGCTTGTCTGTCTGATCATATATTTTAGCTTTAAAACAGCTCTGTTATGAAAAAAACTGAACTTTTAGGTTTTGGTTCTGAAACTAAATTTCGATTATCCATTACCCTGATTTTTGACCCCGGTTTCAGACTGGGAAAATTTATAACTTTAAAAAATGTCAGAAGACTGAAATTTTTACACTTATTTTCCTGTAATTTATTGTGGACAACAACTCAAAACTGCTTCACATCTTTTTTTCGTGTTTTGACCCTAGATTCTGAGCACACATTTAAATAAATCATATAATTCAGGCATAAAAAAAAAAGTAAGTAAATCTAAACAAACGCCTTGACCGCTCGAAGGCTAGAAGTCTAAAACGAGCTGGTCTATAACAACTGAGTTTGTAAATAAGCAGAAAACGATGTGAATTTAAGAGAACGTGAGTTTAGTTTAAATTTGCAAATTCACATAAGGTTGAGCGCTGTACTGGTGCTAGCGATTTATGTTTTCGGGTTATGAAGCAAAGCTCGATTTTCAAGCTGATATCAAGGGTTGTTTTCATTTTATGGCTTCTTATAAGGCTAGGGATTTTGCTTCCAAAATTTTAACATCGCGAGTTTTTTCTTTTTCGAGTTACACCCCCGATTTGTAACCACGCACAAAGCAGCGAACCGTATTCGCAATATTTCAGCTTTCTAGCTGTTGAAGCAAGCAGTCGAAAAAATAAACACGGATATTTTCTCACCGTAATGATTTTTTTTTTTGCATTTTTGTCACATCACTGATGCAAACGATAGAAAAAATAAGAAGCAGTAAAAAGAGTTAGGTTTGAGTTTAATCATATCTGGAAGCTTACAGTTTTTAACAACAAAGAGGTGACATTTACACATTTTTGTAAAGAAATAACTTTCGAGTTTTGTCCGAAAAAGCAAACTGAGCAAAAGGAACCCGGAAAATTCAGGACAGCGAATGCTTTGGGGATGAGCGAATGCAAGGATGAACACCACTCTGGAGGCAAGAACGAATACCACCCTAATTAGATCAACAAACCCTCTCGATGGTGCCGAAGCCTTCGAAGCTGCTGTGAAAAAAGCTCTTTAATCGGTCCTATTGTTGGCGCTTCTGACGTTGCTGCTGGTTGATTTAGCAGTGATGGTGGTGGTGCTGTTGTCGACGGAAGTGTGCTAACTGATAATGAATCCGATGTTTTTGGCGACAATGGGATTTTAGTTGGAAAACTCCGCTCTGCAAATTAACATTTGTCGTTTCTTCTCAAACTGAAAAGCTGACTAGTGCCCATAACCCCGTTTTAAAAATTTTGCGTTTTGTTCAAAGCTACAGAAAATAAAATTTGTGAGTAGGCACTTCCCTTTCCAGAAAGCTTTCGGCAAAATTTTCGTACTTTTTTTAAACTAGCACTTCAGTATCTTAGTTAATAACATTTTATACAACATTTATAGTTTATTAATCAGCAAAGCGTTCTGTATTTTATAATATTTCTTAATGGGCTCGTTTAAAAAATTGATAAAGTCCTTGCTTCTATTTCCTCCCTGAAAAGATCTGGACATCGCTGCCAAACTAATTTTTCTCCATAATTATTGCCGACATTGGGTCCGTGCAGTGAAAACTAACAACTCACTCCTGCTTTTAGCAACTTGATGGTTAAAATCACTGTTTTTAACTTCTTTTCCTCCACTTTAGTTTGTACAGCAAGAGGAATTATAAAGCACCACGACTTTCACCGCATATCAATCAATATATGTTAAGTAATGAATCAAGAAATTTGAAGCTGGGTATTTAAAATAAAAGCCGCATGCACTTTTATATGCATGCGCGGGAAAATGGGATTAAAGGATTTTGCACCTTCGCTGCCGCTTTTTCGATGTATTCGATTCAAGGCTGCAAATAAGTGCATTATATTGGTATCTAATGCGGCCGAGCCCGATGGATTTTCCCAGTTACAAGCTGTGCGAACCAAATCGTCGATGCAGTTACGTTGCAGCTGCTCCAGCTCAGGTGCTAAATCTGTTGGGCACATTCCCTGGACATTCGTTTTTCGAATTCTAAAAATGAAAGTACTAGAAATGATAAGACTATTAATGATTTTCACAATAAGCTACGCGGCGAGATGCGGGCAAAAGCCGGCGTGGTTATTCTGCTTCGTGATATGCCGATGCGCGATCGAGCTGGAAAAATGCGTTAATCCACCAGGAATTCGTTCATGATGGTCGTTTAATCAAATCAGCTAGTGAAAGGACCAAAATTTTGAAATGGCTGTCCACAGTATTCTGAAGTCATCAGCCATATTTGTACGGTGCTCATAATGCAGAAAGCAGCTGCATACTGCGAAGAACGTATTTGAAAACACATTTTCACTAGAAATGTAACTACAGGCCGTTTTCGCCTTCTCAAACTATCAAATACAATCTCAAAACTTTGAATTTTGAAATTCGTTTTGAAATTGTAGACTCTTCCTCTGTTTAAAGATATAAATCATTGTATAACTAAATTTTTAACTCAGTTTTAGACAATTTGACCCATATCTAATGGGAATTACTCTGTAGTTTATACCTGGCTAAATTTCATTCCGTAGTTTTCTTAATTTTAGAACTATACTTCTCAAGCTGAGATAAGACGAACATTTGAAAGTTTGTTTTAGTCTTGTAGCGTCTTAAGAATCGAAAACACGTTCATTAAATATTGCCCTCTTAGACTTTGTGGTCCTTCGTTAACTTATTCGAACACACAGATAAAACATATATATATATATATATATATATATATATATATATATATATACATATATATATATATGTGTA